TGAATGAGATAAAGCACTTTAAAAAGTTATAAAGTTACCCATTTTCTTCCTTCTGTTTTGGCTGCTATTATTTTAATAATTACTATAAAGTACGGAAAATCAGATTTTATACTTGCAAAGTCCTAATGCATTTTATTTCTATAGGATATTTCTCAGAGCAGGTGAGTTAGGGATGGTTGGTCTATTATCCTGGAAGGAGAGGAGATAAATGCAAAGTCTCACCATAACCTTGGGTACATTCACCTCAGTTATACAGATAAATTACGTGATAAGATACAGCCAACTTCCACAAAGATTACTGGATCGGTTAAACTATTGTCCTTGCATTCTCTTGAGAATTTAACGACTCTGAATTTATAGAGGACTGACATAATAAATCTGCTCCTTTAATTACTAAAGTTTAGATTTCCCTCCTCTTATCGCTATCTCAATAGGGTTAGCAGATTTTCTGGAGCATTCACTAATGTTAATGAATACAACTCAGAAGACTGCCAGACCCAACACAAGGTTGTCCCACGTAATCTTTTAGGGTTTAACTAAAAGCGTACATTGGGTTACTGGTTACCTGTCTTTCATCCACTTTACTGCGGGAGAAGGGTCCCCAACAGCTTTACAAGGCAAGGCAATATCTTTCATCCATGGAGTTGTCACTGTCCCACTGAAGGTCAGGATTCGTGCAGGAGCTGGAAGACCAAACACAGTGGAAACCCAATTACTTCACAGGATTGTCTACAGCAGAGGTCAAAATGACCCTCCCAAATAGAGCAACACATAAATAAAAAGGTGACTGCAGCATTATCCATTAATGTTACAGCTGTTAACACTGTTCTCTGGTATCAGGGATATAAGGGATTTTTATTGTAAGAACATACAAACAAATAGCTGAAAATCTTCATTGTAGCTTTTTTTTTTTCTTTCTTTCCATTGACTAAACACATGAAGCCCAAATTAAATATTTGGGGCTTCATAAGCCAAGAGCTACAAGCTGTGTTTTCTATGAACCCAATTATTTTTCCAGAGCACTTTATTAAGCAATTTCTCTCAACACCAAAACTGCACATTAAAACATACTTTTAATATCTGAGAGAATAGAGACCACAAAACATAAAGCTCCGAAAGGCAGGAAGAAATAAAACTATAACAACTTCTATTTACCAATTTTGTGGTATTTTCCTGTCTTTATTACAGCAACTTGATCTTCAGCACAAACATTAGGGAAAATGAACATTTGCAGAATGGTCTCTCTTGAAGAACAATCATTTTCTTGGGACAATGACTCGGATGTCCAAAGAGGAGGATCTGTCAGGGGTGTCCAGTATTGGCTCAGTCCTAGAGTAGCCAGAAGGTCCAGAAGGTAGAGAGGAAAAAGTCTAGGGTGGACCTGCATGAGAAGGGGCCTCCAGATTTAAAGACCAGAGGTGTCGAGCAGTGACAGGTTCCTAGTGGTACCTCTTGTCTTAGTTAAAAAGGCTGGCAGATAACCAAGACACAAGTCTTCCAGAGCCAAAATGACCTGCCTGATCTTTACTAAACATTGGGATCCTGATTTCTGGGGCATGAACAGGAGCCAGTGGCAAGTTCCTTCCTTTATTTTAG